CACACACACACACACACACCTCCATCCCCCCCCCTCCTCTTTTTGCATGATGGCAGCCGAATTAGGGCAGATTATGAAGCCGGTTTGTACGAAACTAAAGAGTCAACCGGTTTAAGAAAACAAAACCAGGTAAGCAGTTTTTGAAATACACGTGAGGAGTGTGAGAAACTCCTCTTTAAAGAGTCAGAAAGCAGGCAAAAGATCATCAAAGGCTGTACTGTGGGAGCACATGTTGCACAAACAGATATAAAGTCTTTTTCGGGTTTTTAACGAGTTCATTTAGAAAATAACGGCTTGCTGTTCATCCAAAACCTGCCARTTCACACCAAACTTTATATTGTAACCAAAAGACTCAAAAATAAATTTCCCATTTTTATTTATTGGTCCTAGAATTACACCACAGGTTGTGGATGATGTCTAAATAAAATTTTATRAGTGTTTTATTGTGATTCGCAGAGAAATCCTTTCGGAGTTGCCGCGCTGCCGACTTTTTTTTCTTCTTCTTTTTCAGGATCATCTCCTTTTCTGAGCCTTAATAACCTTTAATCCTMCTGATCGGTGTGGCGTAGATAAGTCTAATTTGAATTGGGATTGTTCTTAAGGAGCGGCTCGTTTTATTTTTTTCTCCTTTCCTTTACAGAAAACCTCAAAACGGAGCTTAGCGCAAACAACAAACCCACCCTGAGCGCAATTAAGGCCTCGGCTAAATTAGAAGGAGGCTAATTGAATGCAGCTGAGTTTCCCATCAGCAAACTCCTGAAAGCTGCACTAATGTGAGGAAAACAGGMGTTTGATGGTCAATTATTGTCACTTATTTTTAAGAAAAAAGGTTTAGATTTAGTTAAATATTAAGAAATTGACACAACTGAAGGGTTACAATTTTGCGCTTTTTTTGTTGTTTTTACACAGAACAAGGTGTTCTTGCAGATGTGTTTTGCATTTAGTTGTGTCTGTTGGCTTAAATCAATGCAAATGCAAAAAATAGTAGACAATTTTATAATCTGATGCGTTTGAGAAATAATACCTCACCCTCTCAAAAAAAAAAAACGCTATAGGTTTATCTGGATATTAGTTTCTCAGATGAAAAATAACAAACATCCTAAATAAAAAGAAAAACTCACCCATCCTGTTCGTTACTTTGACAAAAAGAAAGTTTTGCCATGAACAAAAGAGTCTTAATAAAATTATGAAGGATATCAAACAAAAATTCTATTTGATTTTTTTATACAAAGTTATGACAAATGAAATAGAAAGTGTGAGCTAGAATAAAGAAAATGCACATAAAACAGCATCTATCTGAAGATGCATGAAGCAGCTATTTTCTGATGATGCATTAATGCACTTTAAAAGCTGTTTTTATTCGTTTATTTAACTAATAGACAAACAAAACACACACACGAAAAGTTGAACCAACCTGGGAATCAATAAACTGAATTTTCCTTTTGAAATCCAAAATGGTTTAGTTTACAAAAATAAAAGTTTAGTTTAGTTTTTTTTTTTTTCATTACTTGGACATTTGTTTACCTAAATCTCAGTTAAAGCTTCTCTGGTGTTCTTCCCCTAAGAAACTAAGGTTTTCACAATAAATGAAGTAAGAAAAATTATATAAGTCAAATGCGCGTGCTGTCACGCAGCATCAGAGTTTTGCATCTGGTCTGCACCACTTTTCCCTCTCAGGAATAAACTCCACGTGGCGGTTATTCCTGTAAGTCACACTCTCAGTCCCGCAGGAGGGGGACAAAAAGCTGCGGTGCGTCATGGGAGGTGGCGGTGGGCAGGGTTCGTTTGAGAGAAACAAGAAGGGGCCTCTTTTCTTCTTCTTGCTCTTCCTCTTCTGTGCGGCCCCTCCGAGATGCTTTGCGGGCTTTGGATGGTGCGCGTTCCTCGTGCACCTGTCCGGCCGCAAGGAAAAGAGGAACAAGTGGGACTCAGACAGGTGGAACGCACTTGCTGCAGAATAAACACACATTTACTGGTATGAGAACAGCTTTGCCCGCCTTGAAGGACAGGCCAGGTCTCCGACGTGCAGAATGGAGCTGGAACTTTTGCGCATTATGATTTGACGCATGAAGATATAAAGGGTGGCGTGCCAAACAGCAAAAACCTACCAACTTCCTTCCATTTACTTTGATATTGATCTTGCATTTTAAATATAAAAGAACCTCCAGGGCTGGCACAGACTTTTACTTAAAAATCAAACGCATGGAAAGAAGTTTGATCATTTACAAGAAAAATTACGCACAATGAAGAAGTTGGATAAACTTTTTTTTTTGGTCCAGTGAGAAACAGTTTCTGTGTCCAGCTCTGAGCGTTAATTATAGAGGAAGGAGGTCAGTCAGTCGACCCCTCTCCCTGTGTGGCGTCGCGCCCTTTGCAGTCCAAMTCGCCAAAATAGTAGCGCCATGTGCCACCGAGTCCCTTTCACCCCTCACTCCCCACACACAGCCTGCCCACCTTAGTTGTTTTTACCCCCCAGGTGGCAGATATTTCGTGAATTAGTCACTAATCAGGAGCAGAGGCTTGTAAAACAGGCGCGCTGTTAACTTTCAGCCTGAAAACKCGGGGTGTTTCTCAGCTGTGGGGCTGAAAGCCCTGCAGGCCCTTTAAAGCTATAAATACACCTGCCTGCAAACACAGATGAAGACTGATGAAAACATGACAAACAATGACCTTTAGTGTACGCTTGGTTTAGAAATTCATCCATATTGCTTTAATTTTGGGTTTAAATTTGCTAAGATAACTTTAAAGTATTTTTATTTCCCTAACTAAATGATTTTTTTGTTTAAGTTTTAAAATGCTTCACATACAACTCTAACTTTACATCTCTTAGACTGCAAAAATATTTCCT